TGGATTCTTGTTTCTTTGTTCTGATCCAGTTGGATGTTTATTTCTTCCTTTTGCTCCAAATCATTGCTTTGAATCCTGGTTTTCTTCTTGTCACTGTTGGTTCCCTGAATATTTTGCTTTATTTCATTTTGGGTATCTTTCATTTGTTCTTTCATTTTTGATCAAGCTCAATCAGCTCTATGAGCATTTCGATTACCAGGGCTTTACATTCTTCATCAGAGTGGTTGGCACTCTCCTCATCACTTAGTTCTCTTTCTGAGGTTTTCAGAAAGAGAAAACCTTTCTTTTCTTTTTTTAACTTAAAAAAATTATTTATTTTCATTGTTGTTCAAGTACAGTTTTCTGTCTTTTACTCCCATCCCAGCTCACCCCCCAGTGCTTCCCACCTCCCTTCCATTTCCACCCCCCTTAGTTTTTGTCCATGTGTCCTTTATATTTGTTCTTGTAAACCCTTCTTCCCCTTTTCCCCTAAAATTCCCTCCCCTCTCCCTTCTGGTCCCTGTCAGCCTATTTCCTATTTCAGTGTCATTAGTTATATTTTGCTTGCTTGTTTGTTTTGTTGTTTAGGTTCCTGTTAAAGGTGAGATCATATGATATTTGTCTTTCATCGCCTGACTTATTTCACTCAGCATTTTGCTTTCCAGTTCCATCCATGCTGTTGCAAAGGGTAGGAGCTCCTTTCTTTCTGCTGCATAGAATTCTAGTGTTAAAATGTACCGTAGTTTTTTAAAATAATTTTATTTAGTTATTTTTCAAGTACAGTTTTTTGTCTATTTCTCCCATCCCAGCCCCCCACCCCCGCCCTGTCCTTCCACCTCCCTCCCATTTCCACCCCCCTTAGTTCTCATCCCTATGTCTTTCATATTTGTTCCTCCAAATCCCTCCCCTTTTTTTCCCCTTAAATTCCCTTCCCTTTTCCCTCTGGTCACTGTCCCCTTGTCCTCTATTTCAGTGTCTTTCTTTTTATTCTGCTTGCTTGTTTGTTTTGTTGTTTAGCTTCCTGTTAAAGGTGAGATCATATGGTATTTGTCTTTCAACACCTGGCCTATTTCACTCAGCATAATGCTTTCCAGTTCCATCCATGTTGTTGCAAAGGGTAGTAGCTCCTTCTTTATCTCTGCTGCATAGAATTCCATTGTGTATATGTACCACAATTTTTTGATCCATTCATTTATTGACGGGCACCTAGGTTGCTTCCAACTCTTGACTATTGTAAATTGTGCTGCTATGAACATTGTGGTGCATAGGTTCTTTGAAATTGATGTTTTAGGATTCTTAGGATATAATCCTAGCAGTGGAATTGTTGGGTCAAAAGGCAGGTCAATTTTAATTTTTCTGAGAAAATTCCATACTGTTTTCCATAATGGTTGTACCAGTCTGCAATCCCACCAACAGTGAACTAAGGACCCCTTTTCCCCACAACCTCTCCAACATTTGTTGTTGGTTGCTTTGTTTATGATAGCCATCCTGACCGGTGTACAGTGGTATCTCATTGTGGTTTTAATTTGCATCTCTCTGATAGCTAACGATATTGAGCATCTCTTCATGTGTCTCTGGATATTCTGTATGTCCTCCTTGGAGAAGTGTCCGTTCGAGTCCTTTGCCCATTTTTTAGTTGGGTTAAATGTCTTCTTAGAGTGGAGTCATGTAAGTTCTTTGTATATTTTGGAGATTAAACCTTTGTCTGATGTATCATTGGCAAATATGTTTTCCCATACAATTGGTTGTCTTTTTAATTTAATACTGTTTTTTTTTTTAGCCACGCAGAAGCTTTTTATTTTGATGAGATCCCATTTGTTTATACTTTCCTTTATATTCCTTGCTCTAGGGGACATATCGGTACCATAGTTTTTTGATCCATTCATTTACTGATGGGCACCTAGGTTGCTTCCAGCACTTGGCTATTGTAAATTGTGCTGCTGTGAGCATTGAGGTGCATAAGTTCTTTGGGATTGGTGTTTCAGGGTTCTTAGGATATAATCCTAGCAGTGGAATTGCTGGGTCAAAAGGCAGATCTGTTTTTAGTTTTCTGAGCAAATTCCATACTGTTTTGCATAGTGATTGTACCAGTCTGCAATCCCACCAACAGTGAACTAGGGTCCCCTTTTCTCCACAACCTCTCTATCACTTGTTGTTTGTTGCTTTGTTTATTTCATTTGGGCCATATTTCTTTGTCTTGGCGTAGCTGATAGGCTATAAGGGGAAGAGTGGGGCCTTAGGTATTCATCCAGGCAGGGCAACCCTTTTTGCTCACTGCCTATAGGGGAGGGGCCAGAAGAGGGAGCAATGCAGCTTGCCTGCTTGTCTCTAGTGCATTTTCCAATGGACTCTTGCGTCTGACTAGAAGTATCTCTCACTGAGGCATTGGTGACCTTTCAAAGCAGATTTGGTTTACAGATGCATCTAGATTAGCGGTGATTGGAAATATCTAGAACTTGCAAATGGGAAGAGCTGTCATTTCTCTCTTATCATTCTTTGTGCCCCCACAACCCCACAGATGGGATTGTGCATCTGATTCGCTGGGACTCATGGCTATGATTTATTACAGTGAAAAGATATAAAGAAAAATCAGCAAAAGATGCGTAGCATGAAGCCTGGGAGAAACCAGGCATCGGCTTCCAAGAGTCCTTTCCCAGTAAAAACACACCAGACACACTTAATTCCCCCAGGAATAAATCATCAGAAAAACATGTGAAATGTTGTCCATTAGACACTGAGTATAGATTAAGCATCCGTGGTTTTTCCTGGGAGCTGGTCACATAGGCACCTTCTGCTTGTCGTGTGCCCACATTCCAGACTCCCAGGAGGAAAGCAGGTATTCAAAATAAACCATGTTGTTTGCACAGATAGTTTTGGCGCAGTAAACTATGCTTATCAATTAGAGTGGTGAGAACCCTCCCGGAACCAACATTCCCAGATGCAGCCGAGGGCCAGCCTTGTAAGCAGGCCTGTCGGTGGACAGCTTCCGCACCTGCTGTGCTCTTCTCTGCGCAGCCTTGTTGGCCAGAAAGGGTCGTGTGTGTTACAGAGGTGGCTCAGAATCCTAGTTTGTTCCCACGCGCTAGTCAGCAGTCAGAGACATTATCTTTTACAGTAAAGAAGACCTTCAGAAATAACTTGGGGAATAGAATGTTATCTCCGAGGCTAAAAATATCCTTGTGTCCTTTACACCCGGTGGTGTTGTGGCGCTCTGGCTTGCAGACCAATTTTCTCATCTCTCTCTAACTCCCTCGTTCACTGATGTTGGGTTGTGGTTCGGAACTGGCTATTGAGTGAATATTGATACCACAGAAGCCAGCAAATACTACAAATCTGGCTGTGGCCCCCAACCACGGGAGTCCATTGTTAAACATTGATTCACATACCACTAACTATACCTTCTTACCATTCCTTCTGTTAACAATCTATATATGATTCGTATAGAATGCAATTGCCTTTTTGTGGATATTTATTTCTTTTCTTGTTTAGAAATTGTCTTTGGGAGCCGAGAAGCTTCTGGTTCACGTTTCCTACCTGATTTACATGTTCTTTTTGTATATTAGTATAAAAACTTGGAATTTTCAAGTTAAATTCCTATTGACTTGCTTCTCATATTGGGTTATTTTTAATTATATGAATAAATGCATAGCAGATATATATATATATAATTATTTTTAAAGGTGTTTCATATGAAGTTTTAAAATGCTATGATGTCCAAGCCAGCAAACCTACTTTTATCTTTTTTTAAAGCTTCTGCTTGTGAAATTGTCATAGTAAAATGGCTCCAAAGCAATATTCTATTCCCAAATTGTTGTTGGCAGATACTTAGTATTCTGGAGAGCCCGTTTTTTCATCTGCTTTTCGTAATCTCAGCTGGCAGTGAGGAGTGTGTAACCAGGGAAGAAGAGTAAAATCATGTCTCTCCGTTAAATCGAAGTCATTTTAAAGGAGGGCATCTGAGAATGGAATGGCCATAGAAAGGAGAGAAAGACAATATCAAAAAGAAAATGCAATTATTTCAGTAACACTTGTGTCATGCTCGATCGATAGAACCTCGCTGCAGTCATGAAGAAGAAATACACACGGCATCGGTGGAGCATGAAGCACTAGGTCAGAACCACTGAAAATTTTCGGCTCTGCTACCAGCAGCCTTATCTTTTTAAGAGGTTACCTAATGATGTGGCTTGCTGCTCAGTGTTGTCAAGCAGTTCTTCAGTTAAAATCTGAATTTGCTATTCAGTGTTCAAAATCTTTTATAGTGTGATGCTGATCGTAGTTCTCACTACTTCCCTCCACTTGTTTATGCTGTTGATAAACTGTCAGAGTCTTTCATGCCTCTTTACTTTTTTATGAGAGCGACCCTTGTTTTTAGCTTTGACTAGTCACTGCCAGTTGTTCAGCTTAAAAGTCCACTCAAACCACTATCATTTTCTTCCAGAACTTAAGTGTCTTTTTCTGTGACCCCATAGATTTTCAAATACATTTATAAACCTCTTCTGTAATATTTCCATTTAAATGAGTTGAATGTTGTATCTTTACTCTGTGTTTTTTCTTTCCTCCCACCCCACATACTGTGAGCTCTTGTGTGCAAGGACTGTGTTTTCTTCGTCTCTTTATTCCAAGGACATAATAATAATTGCCATATTAAAAGTTTTGGCAGGCCCTGGCTGGTGTAGCTCAGTAGATTGAACCCAGGCTTGTGAAGCAAAGGGTCGCTGGTTTGATTCCCAGTCAGGGCACATGCCTGGGTTGCAGGCCAGGTCCCCAGTGGGGGCCATGTGAGAGGCAACTACACATTGATGTTTCTTCCATCTCTTTCTCCCTCCCTTCTTCTCTCTCTAAAAACTAATAAATAAAATATTTAAAAAATAAAAATGAAAAAGAGTTCTTAAAAAAACCCTTCTGGCAGGACTTCATTTTTAATCAAGATTTCAGAGTGGAGCAGGATTGGCGTCCCGCTCAAACAAGGAAACATCATTGATTACTCCCCATGTCATGGTTTGCCTTCTTGTGCCCTTCAGGCAGACACACAGATCGATCGGGAACATCAAAACTTCTATGAAGCATCATTGGAATATGTCTTTAAAATTCAAGAAGTTCAAGAAAAGAAGAAGTTTGAATTTGTTGAACCGGTAAGGTTTAATTTCCCGACAAAATAGTAAGATCAGTATATCCTGTGGGGAAAAATGATAGTGTTTTTCTGTTGAAAATTACAATTTTTAAACACAAAAAGGGAGGGGGTATAAGGGAAGGGGCCAATAGATGAAGCACAGGAAAATTTTGGGGCAATAAAACTATTATATATAATACTGTAATGGTAGATAAATGTCATTATACATTTGGGAGAACCCATAGAATGTGCAACACAAAGAGTGAATCCTAATGTAAACTGTGGATTTTAGTAATGATGGATCAGTATTGGACCATCACTTGTAACAAATGTATCTCACTAATGCAAGATGTTAATAACAGGGAAGACTGTGTTAGGTGGGTGCCGGGGGTAGGTATATGGGAACTATGTAATTTCTGCTCAGTTTTTCTGTAAACCTAAAACTGTTTTTAAAAAATACTCTATTGGTTTGAAAAAATAAAAATAAAAGGATGTACATTACATATACCTAAGTGAACATACCTGAGCACTAAAGTGACCTGTGGGGGCAATTTTGCCCCCAAGTCCCCCCATCTGCCATGAACGAAAATGAAACTACCAAGACATGATCTGCTTGGGGAGGAGAGGTGGTCAGTCTTTCACAGGAGAAAGACCAAGAACCTCTTCTTCAATGGCTTTTATTGGGTTGTAATAAATACAGGTAAACAGGAATACAGGTAAAGCTCATCAATCAATGTCAGGTGGCAAGGATCAAACAATATATAACATTTCAAAGAAATCTGAGAGCTTAGTCTGAGTCAGTGTCTGTCAGGTAAGGGGCTTGCAAAAACTTTGGGAGACATGCTCATTTCCTGCTCGGACCCTTATATGAATGAAAGCACTCTTAGCAAAGCAGGCTTCACAGGACTTTGTGAATTCTTTCTTGTGCCCGATCACCCCGGATCTCGCTCTTGCCGACAAAGGGCTACACCACCTTCCCAGTCAGGTTTTTAGGTTTAAGTGGATTAGAGCCAGGAAGTCCTTCTCCCAGATGGAACTGAGGACTCAGGCCATGTCAGAATAGCCAGGGGGCGAGGGTCCATCACTCCCTGTTTGCTGCAGCCCCTCAAGTCCTTCCTTGAGGGCCTCCCATGTGATCATGTCTGGCTTAGGTCGCACCCCCCCCCAGGGGTCTTACCTGTTTCTGACTAACCGACCATGAGTTGGGGGCAGAGATAAGCTTTGTCTCCTTAGTGGCTCACATTCCAGAGGTTGCTCACTCAGCCTTAGCCATAGGGGGAAGTTACAACTCCTAGAAGTTACAAACCAGGCAGAGCAGTTCCCAACAGTGAGCCATATACTCAAGCTTTAGGTGAAGGGAGAAAACATCAGGCTGTATTTTTCTCCTTTGTTCCACCCCACTTGCTTGCAAGGCTGGGCCCTGTCTGACTTTCCAATGAAGTCATTTATTTTCCTGAGTCAGTGTAAAAAGTAATGGGTTCCCCAACGTAAGCCGCATTACAGAAAAGAACAGGTGGCTGGTCTTTATAAGCTTACTTCATTTTCTTAGCATTTTCCTCGCAAGTAATATCCTAATATGTTACCAGTATTGGCTAAGTAGGCATATTCATGAGGCATCAACTGTGATGAATAAAGGTAAGTTCCATAGTCAAAATAATCTTCCGCTGGGATATATAAAGCTCAGTTCCCACGAGGGGACAGTGATAGTAAAATATATAGGTAATCAAATATGTAATTTAAGCCATATTTTCTTCCTATGTCAGTTCGTAAAAGAAAATACTCTCTTTCTACTTTAGTGGAAGTGATGGGAAAGAGGGAAGGAAAAACATCGATTTAAAATCTATTTGACCAAATTTCTTTCTTGATAGACACCCTTCAGTGATTCCCTAAAGATGATGGGCAACTGAGACAGAGCAGAGGCTGGGCTGAGTTTTCAGTCCCCGCCCGGTTCGCAAGACCGCTGCTTCTCTCCTTACCCTCCAGCTGGACCTACCTGACTTCCTCCTGTAAAGTCGCCACCTGACCAGTTTACTAGACCAGCCCTTCAGCTAGAGGGATTTAAGCAACTGGAAGTCACACGCAGGCTCAGGGAATTAACTCTTACTTTTTATTTGGGATGGCAGCCTTAGCTTCTAGTTCTGGTTGCCAAACACCCAAGTCCTTAAACCCCTTAGAATGAATTGCTAACCTCTATTTAGTAGATACTTTGAGAAGCTGATTAAACGGTTTTTAGGCGGCCTCTGAAGCTCATCTGGGGTTCCTGGATAGCTGGTCAGCCTAACAATCCCTAGTCTTAGGAAGACACCAGTCCTACTGCTCCCTTTCTCTTGGACTAAGTTCTGCCTCCGAATCCTACCTGGGGTTTTGAAGCCTCCCTCTCTCCTTGCTGGCAAACTTCCTCCTGAGAGCCTGCCTTTTGGAATTTCTGGAATCCAGCTCTTTCTGATACTAAACGACTCTAAATTGTTAAGAGTATCCCCATTCATTCTGATAGTTTTCCTTCATACTTTTCCCTTTCCGGTTCCTAGTTCCTTCAGACACTGTGCTCATTTGCTGCTCTGTCCTTTTTCACACCAGGAATGATCCTTTTCCACCTGTAATAATTCTTTTATACCTGCAGTACCTCTCCTGCTTCTGAGGGGCACGCAGGTAGCCCATTTTCCCATCTAAGCCTCTTTTCATGGCCCGTCCTGTCTGGGAACAGTTAACTAGATCAATCTGTCATGTAACACTCGGTATATAAGGAGAAGCCTGTAAAATCGTTTTCTCACAGGTGACAGAAGGAATGGTAAGAATTTGTGAATTCCTGTGATAATACGTATGGAAAGTGGGAGCTGCCCTTCAATTGAAATGTGTTTTCTTTTTTCTCTCTACTTCATCCCAACTGAGATGGTCTGTAAAGTCTTCTGTAATGCATGCCTTTCTTGTGACTCCACAATCAAAATTGATGTTTAAATTTGTCTTTCTTCCAAAATATTTTCTTGGCTGCTGTATTTTTCCTATTAGTATGTCTGGCCAAATGAAATAGCGCTGTCAGTTTAGTCTAGTTTTTTTATTTCTAGCTGCAGAATCTGTTCTGTGGGGTTGACTTAATTTACATTCCAATAATGAGAAGAATAGAAATGGGAGCAATGAAACATGAGCACTTGCTGTTTAAGTTATGCATTTACAAATTAATTTGGAGGAAAAAGTTTTTAAAATTTCAAAAACAAAGCTCCCAGAAGCTATAACCATGAAAACACATGAGGATACTTTCATATCTTTGCAATTTTTATCCTACAGAAATTCAATTCCTGTTGCATTACTGTTTTACATCGAAGAAATCTAGCAGTCTATTCTGTTTAGCCCAGATTTAAGTAAAGCAGATTACCCCAGGGATGCAACTTATCTCATAATAGAGATTGTGAGATACCAAGTCTGTAAGACAAGTGTAAAATAGTCCTGGTAATTCGAATTATATAACATTCTTTATGATAAGCATTTGAGATTATTTTACCTTGTTTCAATTACATCAAGATCCTGCCACTTGTGATAAAACTTTTATAGAATATTTAGGTGGTATTAGAAATAAATATTCCTACAGTGTTACTATTTCAAGAAAAAGCTTGAGGAAAGAAGCTAAAACATGGGGGGAAAGAGTCCGTTTACATATTTTTAAAGTACGCAGTAAATCGGCTTTTTAAACTCAGCTCTACATTAACTGTATAATTTTAGGGGCAATCTTTTCTTCCATTTTATATAAAAAGTGATTGTAGATGTCTGGTGACCTCTAGACACTTGCCCCACTACCTGCATTGGTTGAGGTAGGACATTGGCTAATGTCCTATTCACTGTGGGGGCTACTATCCACATATTGATACAGCATTTGAAGTGAGGTCAGTATAGACTAAGATGCACTGTACGTGTGAAATACTATTAGATTGCAAAGTTTAGTACAAAAAGAAGTTATCTCACTAGTACCTCTTTTATATTGACCACATGGTAAAATAATAGTATTTTGGATATCTTGTATTGAATAAAATACCAAGTTAATTTCATTTGGTTTCATTTTTTTTAATGTGGCCCCTATAAACTTTAAAATAGAACATTTGTGGTTCATGTTACGTCTCTGTTGAACAGCACTTGACCTCATGCACCCACGCTTACCAACAATATGTATGAGTTCAGGTTTCTATTGCAGGGGAAAGATCAGAGAGGAAGAATCATCCTGTCCTGATTCTTAATTGTACCATCCTGCTACTTCTCAGGGTTGCCTGGAGTTTATGACAATTTTGAGGAATTACGGGAGAAGGCTTGAGAAGCAGCTTATGTGAGAGAGTTGAGCCCTAGTGTATCAGAAGTATATTATTGTGCATAAAGTTTTGCAGCTCAGAAGACTAAAAGACTGTTTTTGTGAGTGAACTTGCTGATGGCTCCTTCAGCTCCAGTTTGTGTATATGTTCCTTCTATCCTTGGAGCATCCTCAGCCAGGACTAATGTTTTGTGTGCAGCCGTGTGTTCTCTTCATGTTTATCTCCCACGATCCCACACACTTTACTACTGGGCAGTTGGTATCCTTGCAGACAGAGAAGTTAAGTCACAGAAGTATAGTTGTCTGAGGTCACAAACCTAAAAGGAGGAAAGCCAGGAATCTAGAGCCCAAATCTGAAGTCACTATGTTTAGTGTCATTTGTTGCCTTATTGGCCACTTAATTACAGGAAGTAGTCCTTTGTAGTATTTGCTGTGACCAAATAAAATGGATGACCCCTTCGGTTGTGGCGTAAAGCTATTGTAATTTTATTAAATTAGAAAAAGAAGAGGTTGACTTTTGCCTTGGTAAAGGTAATTGGATCTGCCCACTCATTCATTTGTTCTTCCCTCCCATTGTCCTCCTGTTGTTAAGTCTCTCCAGGCCTCAGCTGCCCGGTCGCTCTCCAGGCAGACACAGAGCGGTGCCCTGGCTGAGTGGGCGTGAGCTGGCGTCCGACGCCAATCTGATAGCTGTGCGGTTGGGGCACATTTTTCACACCCTGTGTACCTCA